GCAGGCCTCTATTTCTATTTGAGCAAAATGAACTAATGGTTTGCTGGAGTTTTTGACAATTAAAATTGTGCCCACATTTTCAAAGTTAAACACATTTCTTTTAACAACGGTAGTTTCTGCTTCAGTCCTCTCCCCCCTCCCCCTGCGCAGCAGCCGCAAACTCACTGATGCTCCTGCAGCCTCTCGGAGTTCCTGCTGCTCTAAACATTAAAATAATTATTTCATTTTCTGTTCCTCACTTCTGATTACCTTCAATGGTGTCTGTTTGTTGCAACAGCAGGTACAAAAACTAACTTGTTTTTATTTGACTATTTTTCTGTCCTGTCTGTTTATTATCTTCCTGCATCTCCTCTCAATCCTAAAGAAAAGCTGCTGCCTGGGTTCATATATATTCACCTTATGAGTTACCTTTGAACTGCAGTTCTAAAAGATCTACCGACCGCAAAAACAGCGGAGCGCTTGCTGTTTGGCGGCCATATCAGTGATCAGTGCGTCGGAGGACAAGGTGATGCCCGCAGCGCCCCGCTCCACAGCATGCAGCGAAACGCATCAGGCGCAAATAAAAGACAGAAAACATTAAAGGAAATGAACTGACATGAACGATCGTGTGTTAAATTCGTTTTTGAGGTGGCGACACCTGATTGTTACTGTGGCCGTGCTCAGGAGGCAGATCTACCGACCGCGAAAACAGCGGAGCGCTCCCTGCTTGCCGGCCGCATCAGTGATCTGTGCGTCGGAGGACAAGTTGATGCGCCCCGCTCCACAGCAGCGATACACATCAGGCGCAAATAAAAGACAGAAAATATTAAAGGAAATGAACCGACATGAACGATCGCGTGTCAGTACCTACGGGAGCGTGGTTTCACAGACGCGGAAGTGATAGCGTCGGTGAAACGCCGGCTGCTCTAGGAAACCCCCGAGCGTTCGAGCGTCAACGAAGTGACACGGAAATGCCGGGCTTTCCAGAAGTAAGTAAGATAACTTACTATGAGCTGATAGTTCGTTGGATTGATTGGTAGGTTGGAAATTCTGATCATGAATCTGAAGAAACGATGACTGAGCTGTAAAGGCGACTTCCGTTTATAGCCGCGGTTTGTGACGTAGGTGCGACGTGGAGGGAATCCCCGCGAGGGGCATGCTGGGAGTCCCTACTTCACGGATTTTCACCTATCGCGGCCAGGTCTGGAACGCATCTACCGCGATAAATGAGGGATTACTGTAGTTCATACACCCCCTACTGCTGCTCTCCAGAGTGTTCTGCAGCATAATCAGCACGTTCTCTTTGAACTTGATAGTGTAATGACCTGGCTGGGGTTGTAAGCCAGGTGCATTCTGGGTATTGTGTTATATGTGTTTCCTATCGTTCTGCTAGTTCCTATGTGCTGATTTGCGTGTTGTGTGAGTGTTATGTAAGCCACAGGGAAGGTGATGTGTGTTCTGTGGAGCGGGTTGAAATAGCATGGTTAACTGACACCGTGACTCTGTGTGGTAGGAGCGTGATAGAGGATCGTGTCTGAAGCGTTACAAAGCTTGGAGAAAAAGCCTAATAAAGGTCTGCGTGAACCCCTACTGCCTCCTGCTGGTTGATTTGGGGACTATAACCCTGCCGCTGGGACTCTCGTACTTGCTTGTTACCACATTCCACCCGGCCACAATAAGAGACCGGCCATTATTTACCTCCGCTGACTCCGACACCGGCCAAAATTGGAGACCCGGCCTTTAATTGAATACCGGCCTGTATTAGAGGATTTACGGTACTGAATACTTCTATGTAAAGGTTTACTGAACGTGAACACATTTTCATGCAAGAGTGCACCATCATTCCATCACACAGCTACTGTATCTGAATGGCCCACCGTCACCTTTGACCTAAGCTCAGAAGGTAACATTGACTTTACCCCCATTAGTATTTGACTAACGGGGCCACGAGGACCCATCCAACTCATCTGATCCGCTCTGCTCTGGAAACCCTCCACTCGGCGCTTGAATAACCACATGTCTGAAAACAAAAACAACTGTAATGATGGAAATAAAATGTTTATCAACCTTCTATAAGACCTTTTAGTATAAACTAAAATGAAAACCACATATTCTATTCAGAAATGTTGCTTATTTCACTCAAACTGCTTGTTTGTGTATAAAATGAGAGCGTGGCTCAGGGAGGCAGTAATTAGGCATTCAGGTTTTTGTTTACAATTGATAATCAACTGTTTGCTTCTTTATTTGTACTCACTGGGTCTGAGCAGCAAATGAGGCTGAATGAGCCTTTTGATTCCGTTATAAGTGAGATTATTGCCTTAAAGTATTCGTGTTTCTAAGTTTGCAAACATTTTCAACATAATGGCGACCCAAATGGTGTTTTTAACAATGTCTTCCTTTAGTAAGTGTTTATATTTTAAGCATTCAAACAAAATCCATCTTCCCAAGTAAAATAGAAAATGTTTTTACTGCAGCTTTAAAACATCTATGTCCAAATTAACAAGCTCTAACAAAAATGCTGATTCAGATATGCTTTCTATGATTAGGCAAATGAATAAATCATAATGTAAATGTAGCAAACATAAAACATTTATGGTGTTTTATTTTATTTTATTCATGACAAATATTTCACTAATAATGATAATAATAACTAATGTTTCTTCACTAATTTGGTTACAGAAGGCATCTGATGTGTCATTACACACCATGATGTGTACTGGTGAGAAGGCTGGACTTTCCTCTGCACAGACTTTTAACCAAATGTATGACTTAAGTATAAAGATTTAAAGCATCTTTCCATATAAAAGAAATACGTCCAGAAAATACCTCCTTCAAAAGAAAACCTGGCTTAAATTGGAAAGAAATGTGCAAGGAATAGAAATAATTACTTCCAACAATGGACTGATCTTTATGAAAATTGGACAAATGTAATAAGAACATTTACTTTCCCCAGGATTGGCAGCTTGTCCTCTCATAGTTTGAATGCCTCCTAAATGTCCCGGTGTTCGTGTCACGAAAAGTTTCTTCTTCGACTCTTCTCCCCTTTTTTTTTTTTTTGCTCTCTATTTTCTTTTTTGACCTTTGCATTTGTTCAGAATTGATGTTCAATTTTCTGGCATTTAGAACTAAAATGGGTTTCACATTAACCCCTCAGTAACCCAGTTGGAGAGAAATTGGATCATTTGGAAGCTGTCACTCTGTCTATATTGAGTTAGCTTTGGGCAAATTCATAGGGGTACACTGTTTATCTTTTCATTAACTTATGTACTCTTCACCCGAGACGCAAAACACAACAAAAAGCAACAACATACTTATGGCTAAAATGCTAAACAACACCTCCGTTGAGGAGATAATGTCCTCTGCAATTACCTGTCTGTCATCCTTCCAGGTGCTATTTTTAAGCATGTACTGAATGTCACACACACCTGTGTTTTACACCAACACCAACCCTCCAGCTGAATTACAGGATATTACTTTTTGTATGATGGGAAAAAATGATTTAGACATCAAGCTGTTTTTCATCACGTGAGAAAAGTATTTTTACAATGTTTATGCAAACCCAAGAACAAAACAGCTACTGCAGCAACATCCTTGTCAAACTAACCTGTTCCTCATTTCATCAGTAATGATAGTTGCACATAAAGTACATGTTTTGGTCATTGTTGATGGCTTCCTGAGAAGCCTCAGTTTGGAGAAATGCAGTTTCACATCCAGTTTTTTTTTTTTTTCGATCGCTGTGTTATATCCATGACCCATGTAGCAGCGGCTTACAGAGGTGCTTTATTGTAATGTAGTCCCAAGTCTAAATCAACTCCTGGAAATCCTTTGTGTTACTTCTTGCTTTTCATTTGCAGTTGACACGATTTTTGAGCTCACAAAAAAAAAAAAAAAAATTGGTATCATTATTGAATAATTTTAATCGGCTTTGCACACAAAATGCTAGTACCTGCTATGGACTGCTGCCAGATCAGGAGAATCACTGTGCTGGTTACAAAATGCAATTTTCTTACTTATCTAACTCTGGGGAATATGGAAATAGACATAGTTTCACTTAGGGGTAAAATGTCCCTTTAAAGGTGTGGTACACTCAAGTATTAGTGTGTTTGCAGTGGTCCGTAGCAGGAATGAATGCCTTACAAAAAGCCCTGGTGCACCTGTTTTAGGATCTAGGATAATGCCAAATCAAAGGAGAGCTTCAGACGGCAGGATTTGAGTCTTATCTTTTGATATTTGGACATCTCTCCTGTAATCGGCTAACAGCTACGTGACTCCAACACTGATTCCATTTACTTTGCAACTTTGATGTTTTATCTGAGTAAATAACACAAGCCTGGAGGAATTTTGCTAGGTGGTGGAGTTGCTAATGCTAATGGTTGGCTTCTACCAGGACAATACGTTCTCTGTTGTTTCCTGGACACTAAACCAACAACAGCCTTCCCGGTTGTGAGTCAAGACGAGTAAGTCCATGAATGTAAAGTGACATTGTAATGTCACAATGCTATGGTTATTCTAATCCTAGAGTTTCACTGTTTATTTTCTATCAGAAGCTAATGCAGGAGATAGGTGAGGGAGACTAGTTTCATGTTCAGCCTGCATTAAAAACTCAGTGACCGATTATAATCAGAAATAATCATTAGAAAGTGTTTTTTTTTCAGTGAACCACACCTTTAAGAAAAAACACCAGAGCAACAAATGTAGCAGTCTCTGGTTAACTGAACAAGACAAAAAAATTAAATAATTTTCCCAGTGGTTCAGTATTAGAAAACATGCCAAAAATAAACAAAAACTCATTTATAAAATAAAGCTACTCTTTAGAATGAAATCAACAAATAAAAAAATATTAAATACTGTCAGAATTAGAAATTAAGTAAGAAATAAATCACATTGGTTAAAAACTCTATTTCTCCAGACTGAGGCTGTTTAAATAGGTATCCACAACTGGAGAGTAAATACAGATGAATCAATAATAATGAAATTAAACTAAAGCACAGTAGGCATTCTCCATACAGAGCTGAACTTACCCGAGCCTCTCTTTGAGACCATCTTTACGCTCTTGGACAGGGTGAAGTACAGCAGGATCAGGAGAGGGCTGGGAGGTGTCATCTTCCTCCCCCGTCCTCACAGCCTGGAGAGAGAAGAGTGAGGAAGGAGGGAGGTTGAGGTGGAGTGGAGGGAGGAAGACAGAAGGGAGAAACAGGCCATAAGTCACTGACCAAACACGAAATCAAGTATATGTGTATCGAACTGTTGTAGCAAACGTATGGCAAGCGAACACACACACTAATCAACAAACATTTGCACAACCAGCAATGCTCAAACCACATTTTAACACTATGTGTGTTTTAAAACATATTCTCAGAATTAATAAAGAAATAATCACACAAGCAAGAAACAGAGGTCTTAATCGCAATTTTCATTAAAAAGGGAACACTTTGAGCTCATTTAAATGATCCCCTCAAAGAGATGTTCCAAATATCGATGTATATCTCACTTTAATTGATGGAGGTGACTCATTTTCTACCCCTCATCTTCTCTGAGTAAATGACATAATCTAAAATGAAGTAATTACCCCGTAATAGCCGGCTCCTGAAATAGATCTGCTGCTGCCGCTGTGTAAATTTGATGTTAAATGAAGAAAGAATACACTCATCAATGTTAACGGTTTATTAGCTGATGGCATTACCCTTGAGAATCAATCGCCATCTAACTGTAGTAAAACCTTTACGTGTAAACAGCTGCAGGCTAACAAGATGCATGCTAAGTGTTTATGAAATAAACTATAATATATGCAAAACTCAAGTAAAGTGATTCAAAAAAGGGAAATTAAAGTAGCTTAAATCTTTATGTGATATAATTCTGTTTATTTTTTTTATTTAAACACCGGAATCACAAACCAGTCCAGTAGGGAGATTTTACCAGCTGTTTGTGGGGCTTCTGTATAATTATTCATGTTTATAGGCAAACGTCCTTAAAGTCCACCAAGTATATGAAGTAAGGGAATCTGAAGCTTGCTTTTGTCTAAAAAGCTTCCTGAACAGCCTATGTTTGGAGAAATAGCAGGACTTATTATTTCATAAACCAGCAAATAATAGCCAAAACTAATGTGACTGGCAGATGTGTTAAGGCAGCTGTAATGTCTGAAAAGGTTTACAAACTTTAGGACAGTCACCAATCCAATGCTACACTAGGGGACAATGAGGTTGCAAGTCTCCAGCTTGTCCAGAACTCAGTTGCAAGATTTTTAACAGGCACTAGACACCGGGAACACATTTCTCTGGTTTTGCCGGTTCATCACTGGCTCCCGGGGCAGCACAGAGCCAAATTTAAGATCCTCCTCCTTCTGTACAGGGCTCTTCAAGGCACAGCTACCTCCCATCTGTCAGCATTGCTGCACAGACATATCTCATCTCGGTCTCTGCTCGGCTGAGCGACAGCTGTTGTCGGTCCCCCACTCCCGATACAGATTGAGGGGGTATTGTGCGTTCTCAGTTAGGCTGGTGCCATAACTTCTGGTTTTTAAGGCTCGCTTGAGGTCACTGACCAAACTCGAAATCAAGTATATGTGTATCGAACTGTTGTAGCAAATGTATGGCATTTCAGCATTAGAGATCACAACTCTGCCTTGAGCTTTTAGTTGGTTTTTTTTCATGATTTTTATCTTGTTTAACCTGTTTTATAGATTAGTTTATTTAACGTTTTCAAAATGTTTTATGGTTGTTTTATTTTTTCATCTTTCTTTTGTTGATCCACAAGATTGTATTTGTTCTTATGGGGCGTTTTGTTGTTGTATTCAGCACCTTGGTCTGCTGATAAGGTCGTGGGAGGTGTTTTATAAATTAATAAATAAATAAATGAATGACACTAGTACATGACTAGCCGTTAGCTCATCGGTCCTATTGTTTATGTTTATGTTCATTTATTTGGCAGACGCTTTTATCCAAAGCGACTTACAACTTATAACCTATAGGGCATGTTGTGATCTGTGGGGGAAACCGGAGTACCCGGAGGAAACCCACGCATGCATGGGGAGAACACGCAACTCCACGCAGAAAGGCCGCAGCCGAGTTTCGAACCTGCAACCTTCGTGCTGCGAGGCAACAGTGCTAACAACTGTGCCACCATGCAGCCATAAACGTGTGAATAAACCCTAGTTTTTAAGGCTAAAAGATAAAAAAGAATAACAAAATAAATACATCACAAATCAGTGAATGTGGTTAAAGGTGTATAGCTTTAAAATCAAGACTATTTTGCCATAGTTTCCGTTTTAGATTGAAAATCAACATTATTCCAGCTAAATAACACCTTTATATATAGAGACTGACATTGATATCTCCGAGGTGCAAAGCTAAAACAATATTTTTTATGCTGCAATGAAATGTAAATATAGATGCTTAAATAATTTTTAATAAAAAGCAGCTGGTTTTAGTTTTATATTTGCAAATTAGACTTCTCTAGCATGAATGCATAGCAGACTGCAAATTATACTGTGACACATGGGTGATCAAAGGCTGTAGTTGCTGCAGCTGCTTTTTATTTTTCAACTGGATTTAAATAAAATGAAAAACAAACTGTTAAAAAAAGTTTGTAGTTTTGTGTGAAGCAAAAGCAATTAAAAAAGGTTAAGGAAGATAATTAAATGCACCAATCAGATCCCTGTTTCTTTTATTCTGACTGCATTAGAATATGCTGCCGCAGATGCAACTATAGAAGAAGCATCGGCCTTCTCGACTGAAACGAGGAGAGATGGAGGCAGGAGAGAATTTGGAATGTGCAGCAAGTCACGTGTCTTCCAGATTTGCATAGCCAATGAAAGAGTCTCTCTCAGTGTTTACAAGGCATTTGCAACTCCTCCTTTAAAAAGACACCTTTCTCTCCAGCTCCATCACATTGTGCCAGGAAGCAACTTCCAGTTGATAAACACTTTGCTGCCAGGAACATGCTGCTAAATGCCTCAGCTTAAGGATTTGCTTCTTTTTCTCTTTGTGAAGATAAAAGGCCTGGAAATTTGGCAAAGAGCTACTGAGCTTTAAATCTGTTTCCTACAATTGTAACCCCATACACTCTTTAAAATGTGCACAGAAATTACTAGTCTAAAACTGTCTAAAATACTTTCAAGGTGATTTTTTAAAAGTCAGTGTTCTTAAGAAAACATCTGCAACAGTCGATCTGAAAGTAACATGTGAGACAAGGAAAACAAAAACAGGAAAGAAAAGAAAGACTTATCCACTATAGGAGCATCCTGTTTTATATTATTTTAAACAAGACAAATTATATATATTTTTCTTATGTTCTACTAGTTCTATGGTTGATACAAACATGTTCATGAAGTTTTTGCAATAAATCCCTTAAATAAAAAGAAGTTTGCCGGTTTATTGTGGACTTTTCAGTACCTTCCAAGATGAACAGTTTCAGGGCTCTGTTACTTTAATAAAACAAGCCATTGCTGGCCACGCTCACTTCTTTCTGCTCAGGCTGCTGTAAGCTGAGAAGCTCCAATATCCGGGAGAGGTTCAGAGTTGAGCCACTGCTCCCCAAGCAGCAGGTCTCACTGACCACAAGATATGGTTTGGTGCTAATTTCTCCATTTGTGACATCACAAGCAGGGACTTTTTGAAATGGCTTGTTTTAGGCACATTATTCCTAAAACCCGACATTGACAGAAAATGGAAGAAGATTTTTGCATTGTTTTTAGAAGCATTTGAGACTGAAATGGCAGCACAAAAGGATGCAAGTTGTGAGTTTTGCATAATATGTAATAATAAGACTTATTTTGCAGCTAGACACTAGGGGGAGTCAAGATGAGCACCAAAATCAGACGTTAAAGTCAGCTCAGGGACATTTATTACACACATGCCATTGTTTTCCATTCATTCCATTCATGTGTAGCTGTTAGATGTTGAATTATTATAAAATACTCCTCGTAACTGTAATTTCAAATGTGATCCAATTAATTAACTCAGCAGTGCTGAAGGATTGGCAAACCAACTGAGTGTTGGAGAGCTTCCTTTCCAGAACCACAGTTTCAACTCCATACAGGGACCTTTTGAGCAGCTTAATTAAGCCCAACAATGCCAGTGACCCCATCTGTATCGAAATCACATCATGCCTTCAGAATTTCAGTCGTCTTTGGGTCCTACCAACCGTGACATCATTAACCCACAGCACTGAGGGGCATTGTGAGCCTCACACGACCACCATGAAAAGCCATCCCACCTCATCTGCCCACGTCTCTTCACTGCCCTCGCCCTCTTTCTATTTCCGGTTTTGGCACCACAAAGAAGCTGTCACTGGAACACATAAGTGCTAAAAAGCCTCTCCTAAGAGTTCAAGCCAAATGGCTGACACGTCAACCTGGCCTCTTAGTGTACTCTCCAAAACAGGCTGCCTGTTGTTGGGCTGAACAGGGAAAAGCCTTAAAACACATTAGACCTCACTAAGCAACTATTTCAAAATAATTTTGTTAACTTTGGTCATAAATGTCTTTATTTGTAGTAAGAACTGACAATTCAAGCAGTTTTTATTTTTGACCACTCAACCTTTAAAGGCACTGCAGTTTTAAGGCTTAGGGGGAGCCCACACCGTGTTTGAATGACACACTTTTAAAGTTCATTCCTTCCACACCAGCTGAGACCTTTCTAACCAAAATGGTCCAATTTGTTTTGTATAAAAAGAGAGACCAACTTTTTGAAGAGCAATCTGCACATCTATCATTCCTGCAATGTTGTCTGTCAGTTTATAAATATAACTCAACTTCCAGATCTGTTCAGCCATGTTTGTTCACAGTATTGTGGCGTGGTAGCTAGTATCTCACTAGGATGTGATTGTTGGTGATAAACTGGGTGTGGAAGTTGGGAGAATATTTCAAAAGGTATCAAAACTTTGTACAGGTTCTTGATTTTCTTCTGCTTTTTCTGGAGCGGTTCACAACCGTGTGTGAAGCAGCTGGGATGAGAATCACCTCCTCTAAATCTGAGACCATAGTCTTGAGTCAGAAATGGGTAGAATGATTTCTCCAGGTCGAGGATTAGGTCCTGCCCCGAGTAGAGTCTAAGTATCTCAGGGTCTTGTTCATGAGTGGGGAAAAGATGGAGCTCAAGATCGATGGGCAGATTGGTGCTGTGTCCG